GAGTTGATCAGGTTTTTAGCCCACAGCAGTGAGGCTACAGAGGAGGCACCATCCAGATGTTGTTGAACTCCAGCTTCCAGCAGCCCCAGCAGCCATGGGAATGGAAGACACAGTGTTGGAGTTCAGCAGGGCAGGGCACCATGTTGGCTCCTTCCACCTTAGAATCTGCTGGACTAATTGCAGCATGAGCCTCTGCCCGATGGTGTGGTCCTGTGGAAGGTCCTGTTCACACTGGAGACTGCTTGGGTGGTAGAGGGCAGGGAAAGTGCAGCTCCCTCCCCCACCAGGCTATTGCCTACTGAATGCATGAACTGGGCTTATTCTCTAAGGTGCTTTAGGATTTTAAAAGAGACAGGAGAACCCCACGCCCTAAGCCTACGCTATCAGAATTCAAGCCACTTTCACAACTGGGACCACAGTACAGTGGAAGATCATTGGCTTTGCATACAGAAGGTCTCACGTTCAATTCCAGACATCTCCAGCGAGGAGAGGAAATGTCCCTTGCCTGAAACCCTGGAGAGATGCTGCCAGTCAGTGTAGAAAATACTGAGCTAGAGGGACCAGTGGTCTGACTCAGTATAAGGCAGCTTGCCATCTTGCAACCATGATTCTGCTTACAAAAAAACAAAAACCATTCAAGTGTAGCACTCATAAGATTCTTTTCCACAGCTGAGCTTAGATTTACTTTATGAGTTTTCTTGAAATTGTCAGTTAGGCAGGGAAAAGTGACATTTCTGCCCTTTGTACCACCTGGGACCTACTGTTCTCTTTCAACCTGCTGCATTTAAATCATCCAGAGAAAGCATCGCTCTCGCACCTAGTAGCTCACACTGACATATCAAAGGCAAAACCTGAACTGGAAAATTGCCAGCAAGGAACTCTGTTTCATGATATATTTATTAGCTTCTCATCTCCATATCCAAATCCAGAGGGTCCTCAAGTTGTTGATGGCCTTCATGGCATGACCCTTCACGGTATGCAGGTGTGACTCTGCTCTCTGCGAGATGTGAGAGGACCTTGACTGTGGCACTCGGAGCATGTTCATGGGCTACGCAAAGTCAGAGATGCTACCCCACTCTCTAGCCCCAAGCTCAGGAGAAGGGGACCTCACCAAAGCTGTTGAGGGGTGAGGAAAGAGATCCTCATCATGGCAAGTGTGACAAGTGAATTTGTGGACCTCTGTGACATCCAGTTCCTAACATTTCCCCCCAGCCTTCTAATATGCTCAAGAAACAAGAACTCAGACACAGGCAGTTGATCAGTGTCAAGGAACAGGGACTGTTCCACCCAATTTTGTTCCCAAGTACACTCTTTTCTGCTTTCCCAACTCCTGACTAAGGGACACTATTACAGTGAGACAAAATGGCGCTCTTCACCATGGCACTGGGCGGCCCAGTCCTCGCTGACAGAGATTTTGCCAAGGGTGGGAGGGGAGCAGAGCTTCCAGAGGTGCACTACAGTGCCTGAGGTGCCATGAAGTCTAATAAGCATGTGCCCTCCTTGTCATATAACAATGAATGTTTGGATCATTTCAAAGGTAAGCAAGCTGAAGTTTCAAGATGGGATTCAAACGATCCCTTTGAATACTCATGAAACACAGCGTTCATCCAGCCATAGCTGATGCACAGCACTGGCAGCATGGAAGTGAGTAGCCACTTTGAACTGAAGAAGAAAGATGGCAAGAGTGGTCAGAGGCAGGCCATTCAGAATCCTGGACAGATCCGAGGGAGGAGACCTGTTCTGACAATTGGTTAGGTACTGGTTTACCGGTTCCTATCTGCCTTAATGGAGGCAGGTGCCACAACATTGTGTGGATCGAAGGCAGAGAAAAACAAGAATGACAGAGGGTAAATCATTCTTGGAAAAACCTCACAGGGAAGGGAAGAACGGGCTTCACTCGCAGTCCGTCTTGGTACCTGGCTCTCGCTCCGGCATAGAACGCAGGGGGCAGGGAGGCGCTGAGCGTAAAAGCACTTTGCCTGCCGAAAACCCTCCTACACTGCCATTAAGAAGCAGAGGTTCTCCTGTTAATTGGATTTTTAATTGGCTTTAAAGTCAGGCACGCTTCGAGAGAAGATGTCATCACAACTGTGGAATTACACACCTGCACTGATTTGAGGTTTGGAACTGAGAAAAAGATTGAGTGGGGGTGGTGGATGGCGGACAGGGGAATCTCCAGTTTCCTGTTTACTTTGTGTTTCTTTATTGATGATTCGGTAACTCTCTCCAGACGCAAAATTTTAAAGATACAAATGAGGTTGGATTGCAGTACGGAATAAAACTTGTGATTAAAAGAACATTTTGGTTTAAAGAAATGGGGGGAGAGCTCTAATGCTTGAATGGATCTTGGAAAATTAAGAGCAGATACCATCTTTACCCCCCCTTAAAAACATCATAGAAGAGATACAAAGTAAGTGGACTTTGGCCAAAATGCAGTCGTAAAGATGAAAAGAATTTGGAGCCGTGGATGAGGAAGGCATGGAGACTTTGATGGTGATTCATTAAAATGAAAGTACTCCAAGATCCCCTGTGGCGGAAGGTGGATCCCTCTTTCTCGGGCTATGTACATTTCTAGATGTTGACTGAGTAGTGAGAAAGAGTGGAGTGTGTTGTTGTCCAGAAACACCAAGCGAGATGAGAGCACGGTGGGAGGGAGCTAATGAGGTATTCTGAGAATTCTTCAGGATCGTAGCCCCACCCCAGCTATGCTGAGAGACAACGGCAATCGGAGGAATTTCAAGATCTGGACAGCAGACAAAAGCCAAGGACTTTATAATTGGACATTTTCAGACTGACACACACAGAGAAAAGGAAAATAATTAGAGCACCTCATTTGAAATCTTATGGAAAGTTAGATATGGTTTTAACACAAATAGTAATCACTAAAAATGCAGCTGTTATCCTAATGATTAATATACCAATTGAAATGTAATTAGATGTTAATAAAAAATATGAACCCAGCAATATAAGAACTGGAGAAAAAACAGTGATCAAGGGGCGCAGGAAACCACTTTGATTAAATTGCATAAATTTGGAAATAACTGGAATTATTTTGATATTAATTGAAATATGTATAATTAGCAAAACTGTGGTAATATTGAATAATTACTGGAAAAATAATAATAAAATATTATAAAAAAGACAATTAGTACCTAAAGAATTGTGTTTTTTATAATAAATATACTGTAACTCAGCCAGCCTACTCCATTTAGGTCTCACCTCCTTGCTAGGAAATGGAAATCCTTAAAGAGGCAGCCCTATGGACTACAATCTGGTCCCCTGTCACCTCTCCGATATCTCCACTTGGGCTGAACACGGTTGAGAGCCCATGAGGCACTTTGGGGCAATGATACTGGCCTGTTGATGAGGTCGATCTTAGGAGCCATTGTCACTGGGGTGTGTGGGTCTCAGGCCCTCTCTACAATATCTCTATATATACAGTTTCTTAACATTTCCTCTACATTTTCCTCAATGGATTATGCTGGAAAGTTCAGTGACAAGTGGAATAAATATATTTCAAAGCTACAAATCTTATAATTTCTTACAATCACTATATCTCTTAAAATAGATTTAAGTGACATGAAAAATAAAAAAGGTTCCATTTCAAAATCTGTTTTTGTGTGTTTGCCACATAACTGCTAGGTTGCTCTGCTTTCCTTTGACTTCAAAATGTAGAAAACCATCTGTTTCATCTGCACACTTTATTTTAAGCCATGGACAAAAATAAATCCCTCCCTACATAATTGACTGATATTGACTTTTTAACCTTGAATTATTGGAATATGTTTGCATTATGTCCACCAGGTCACATGTATGAATATGCTGACCTTTACTGCCTTGCCAGCTCTCTCCATTTCTAAGCAATGAATTCAGGTATTTCCAAGGACATTATCAAAGATGCCTCCCTAAATTTCATCCCAGCATTTGGAAGTCAAGACTAAAGGCGGCGAAAGCTCTTGCTGTCTGGGAATGTCCTGCAGCTGCACTCTTCCCAAAGAGTGTATTTCAGCTGGTACAGGGCTGGTGCTCAGCAGCCATTTCAGAGTTTTTGAATCACTATGAGCTTATATGAACTGTTTGATGAATTTGGGGTTGCATTTTTTTTCTTTATATGCTCCTGTGTTTTTGACATCCTTATAGCGATTGTAACATTTCTTAATTTTTAAAGCTGCTGATATTGTGGGTTGCTTTGAGCTCAGCATTTGTCATTGGAAAAATAGAATACAAACATCAAATCAAATCAACTGCAGTCAAATACAAAGGCAAATTATAAAGCTGCAAAATATGTTGCCTCTGTCTGTCACTCTGACTCCAGGATTTGTCAGTCAACGGATTAGATAGATCAGTACCCACTGTACCTTGATAGCAAATTGAGGAGGAATGTTTCTCATGTATGGAGTGAGAAACTGGCTTAAGGCTGTCTTATTGCAGTCAGAACAATAGGGAATTGACCACAGCAACTGGAGTTTTGACAGATTAATCCACGCAAAGCAATACACAGTGGTATATTTTCTACACAGTGGGGTAGGAGGAAAAAATTAAATTCAGAGCGTGAACAGGCAATACTCAGTTCTTTATTTGAGAATGAAAGATAGTGGTTCTATTGTTAACTGATGAAAAAAACAACTTTACGAACTAAATGATGGAGCAGGTGGCAACCCATAAAGAGTTACAGATGCTCCTCTCTATAACCTTATTGCTCCTATTTCCCTCCTGTGGTTTCTCTCTTTGCCTTCTGATCTTGTTTTATGTTCCATCCCTGCTGTGTAGACACGCAGAGTCATTCTCTCATATACATAGTCCCCTTCAGTCTCAATAGAGTCAATGTTGTAGCCACATCAGCTAAATAGGTTTCCGTCAACTACCTGCTTCGTTTTAATAATAATAATGTAGCATGAATGAGATTGCTTGTGGAATGGAATCAGAGAATTGTAGAGTTGGAAGAGACCTCGAGGGTCATCTAGTCCAGCACCCCCCCTCACAATGCAGGAATATGCAGCTGGCCCATATGGGGATCAAACCCACAATCTTGGCATAATCAGCACCACACTCTAGCTAACTGAGCCACCGTCAATGGCAAACAAGTTCTTATTTGGTTGGGGTAGACTGTGTGGGATCAAATTCAGATGCAAACTGGCTTGAACCAATTTTCCTGGCCTAAGGTACAGGTGTCCTTCCGATCTCACACTTCTCTATGCAAGCAAAGCAGCTTGTTCCATTGAAGTAAATGGTGACATGAGAGCTCTGTGAGCAAAGAAGAATGTCAAGGGGCAATTGGCTTAAAATGCCTGCACTCTTATAAGATAATTTCCACAGCTAATTACCAAGCTATATCCTAAAAAGTGCAAACACACTAGCAACCTATCTGTATGCATGTTTGCTCAGAAGTAACTGAGTCCCCTGAAAATTTCTCCTATGTAAGGGCATAATAGGGTTGCAGCCTGAATAAATAACAGTACAGACACATACAAAATGTAGTAGTCAAATGTCAAATACCATTTCCATTCCTAACAACTACTGTTTGGCAACACTGTGAAACCAGTCAAAATTATTTGGTACAAATTTTTGCTTCAGAGAAATTCTCGTAAAAATATTGAATAGCTAGAGCTACACTGCTACACTGAACGCTTAAGGCAGGGGCGGGAAATCAGGGGCCCTCAGCCTGATTCATCTGGCCCCAGTTTCTCATACACCACAGAGTTTGGTTGCCAGATAGAGAGAGGGGGGTAAAGTGAGAGGAAGGTGATGTGGCTGCACATCCCGCCCATTTTTTCCTCTGGCTCCACCCACCAATGCTTCAGGCTCCGCCCACCATCCACTGCAGTCCTTGATTGAATTTTTCAAGTGAATCCACATTCCTTCCTAGGAATAAGGGCTCCCTAGCTTGAAGTATTTATTTTGATGAGAGACAGCAATAGCTACATGCAAGACCTGTTCTTAAACATTAGTAAATTACTCACTATGTTCATCAGCGTCAGAAGATACTTCTGAACGTGTTCTTTCCCATGGAATTGTACAACAGAGTCATCAACACCTAGAAGCACTTCAATGTTGTAATCGTCATCCGTCGCATGCCTTGGATATCTCCTCCTCCTCCTGGAGGTGCTAATTTCATCTTGCAAGAGGTTCACCATGCTGTCTAGATTGCTTAGATCAGGCGCTGAAAGAAATGAAAAGCTGTTAATTTTTAAAAGTGCCACATTTTATTTCTCAATTATTATTTTTAATCATAAAGACGAGAAACTCCTATTATAGTTCCTCTCTTACAGTACGATTGCATCTTGAATGGGGGCTACTTTCTTGAGGTGGCACCCTTAGAACTGTCCCCGTGTGAGCATCCTCACTTTCCAAGCAAGGCAGAGAGTTTTTAAGCTCTCCATCTTGCCCGCAATTAATTTGCAGAATTTCAGTCACGTAAGGTTGAAATCACGCAAGTTAATTGCATGCAAGGTGCAATCGCACCGTGTAAGTTTGGGACAATTTTGTTAAAGTTCCATTGGATAAACCTGGATTTATTCAGCTAAGGTAAGAAGAGAATTTGATGTAAGATCTCAAATCCGGTAAAGAGAGGCGTCCAAAACATTTATGGATTAGAAGTATGGTGTGGGGTCAAATTTTCACCTGAACAATTGCCCTAATGACAATGTAATCTCCAGGATGGGTGAGTAAGTAAATTAGATAGATCTAGATGACATAGATATAGATATGAAATCTTAAAATGGACATCTGTGGGATGCAGCCAGAGTCCCTCAGTGGTATTTGTGCTTCTTCATCTTTATAACACTACAAATATTTTTTTATGTGACAAGGCTACATGGTTAAATGCAGAGTTCTTTCACTGCATCAGCATGAATCTGAATCTGCATAATTGATATCAATACCAAAAGTGTATATTTCAGCATGACTTCTTCATAGGTTTCCTTTACGCATGTGTCTACATATACAGTGGTACATTGATTTTTGAACATCTCTGTTAACAAACATTTTGGTTTATGAACGCCGTAAACCCGGAAGTAAATGCTTTGGTTTTCAAACACGCCTCAGAAGTTGAACATGCCACGTGGCTTCCACGTGCAATCAATCTGTGTTCAGCTAATCTCAGGAGCTCTCTTGCAACCAATTTGTTTTTGTGACTGTCTGCGCCTCAGTTTTCGAATGTTTCAGAACTCAAACAGTCTTCCGGAATGCATAACATTTGAAAACTGAGGTACCACTGTATACAAATATTTATTTATTTATTTATTTATTTATTTATTTATTTATTTCATACACTGTTTGCTGTATCCACTGAAGACATCCTGTTTGTGCAAGGAACTTGCTGCTTCTCTTCATCCCTCCCCCCACCCTGAATCTGCCCCATGTTGTACAGGACCTGTGTGGTTAATCAAAAGTGCAGGCTATAGATATTTAAAGAAATAAATAAAACGCCAGAACAGATGAAGGATGCCTGACACCCTTTCATGAAAGGGGAACTTTAATGGATACTGCCCTGTGTATGTACACATAGACCCAGACCCAGACAATCGTATCAGTGAGACTTGCAGAATACTAGGAACTGGAAATATATATGAGCCATTATACTAACAAATGCAGTGCCATCTCTGTGTTGTTCTAAAATCAGCTTATCGACAGATGTGAGGAATATGGGGAGGGAGGAGATGAATGGCATGACTAAGAAAATGCAATCGGCATTATAGGGATTTTGTGGGATAATTCACATAACTACAATATCAATATGAGAATAAGCAAAGGTGATCACACATTCTTGATATTCTAGTGATGTGAATATTGATGTTCTGGAGATATGAATGATTAGAAACAGGTGATGGTCACACAGCCGTAAAAGTTATCCCAGCCAAATCAAGAACTGGAAGGAAAGAAGCACTAAAGAGTAAGACTCAAAATATGTAAGTCGAATAATTCTTTTCATCATGCAAGCATGAAATATAAAAATTCAAATAACCAAGATAATAACTGATAAGATGAGGGCTTCAATTCCAAAGTTCGTTAAAATGAGATTTTATATTTTGTCTAACAGAAGCAAATGATTTTATGCAGATACCTTGCTAAATGATTGTTACTAATGCTTATAAACTTGATTTGTATTCATTCTATTATGTGATTTTAAAATCATTTTATCTTTTTTTTGCAAAAGCCATAAAAAGATGAACTCTACAATCGGTAACATGAAAACTATTAATAAATTAATCTATGCAATTTCTTAATCCTTTGACCTCAAGATAAAATATATGAAGGAAGCTCTGATTACATTACTGTACTTGGTCCTGAGGATTCCTTTGCTGTTATGCAGTGGCCAATATCTAAAATCTACATTAGATACACCCAACATCTTGCCCACACTGTCTTCAGCAGTAAATCTCTATGTTAAATAACCTTCCTCTGAAAACATGTGAAAGGATGAGTGTTTTTTTGAGAACAGAGGGACTTGTGGAAAGAGGCATTGGGCAGAGGGCAAAACTCATGTGCCACAGAAGTTTTGCTGGTCCATTTGTTGAGGAATGACTTATGACTAATGACATCGGGGTTTGTTTATTTATTTTGTAGATAAAACAAACACACAGAACATCCTAAAAGAACCAAGTTTTCTAAAGGATTGTGACACCCGATCTGTAGGTGCATGATTCTTAAGACTCAGCTGCAGGCTCCAAGGTCAGAGATGAACCTACCTGGGATGGGTTTGGGTGGGCGGAAAGGGGCAGGGGAAAGGTTCTCAATTCCTGTTTGGTTCTCTGCTTAAAATGGCTTCCCTGCTGCTTGGTGGGAAGCCATGGTTAAAACCCATCATTTGCATTCCCCCCTTAATACAGCCCAACTGCAGATTTCATCCCCCCACCCTGGCTACACAGCAATAACCAGTAGCCTGCTAGTCACTGTCTGCATATGTCTAATTCCACCCTCTTCCCTGCTAATTATAAATTTGCTCCGTCATTCTTCCTCACCTTTTCCTCATTTTGTATCTAAATGTCCTCTACTTGTCTTTTATCTTGCTAGCTGCATTTTCCTCTAAGCCACGTAAGCCTCTTCATAATTCATAAATCCTCTTTTCACAGTACAGGTTGCACTTGGAACCTTATGCTGCATATCATGCATAAGGAAATTGGACAAATCCCGGAAGCCGAACTGAGTTGCAAGTGAGGTGCTGTGAGGTGAAAGCCTACTGGGCTAAACATTATACATACATACATACAGTAAGCCCACAACTTACGCACATTTAACTTGTGAACATTCAGCTTTATGCACTTCTCCCTAAAATAAAATAAAACTAAAAAGTGGGTGGGCATTCTACGTGGGGGTTACTTTCTGGGGATCTCACCTAAAGTCAAAATTGTATAGTCAAAACACATTGGGTGCAATGGTGGGTGGGACTGCCAAAGCCTTTTTTCCTGAATACCCAATTTTGACTTTAGGCGAGATCCCCAGAAAGTAACCCCCATGTAAATTGTGGACTTACTGTAATCATGTCGGGACAAAATGCTACCATATTCAGGCCTGATTCAGAAAATAAGGTTAAAAGAATGACTGAAAAGATGTGTTTGGGTGTTAATGACGCACATAATACTGCTTTTCCTGCACAACATTCCAGTTTCTATGGATGTGAATTACCTCTACCTGGGACCTTGGAGAGATGTTGCCAGTCAGATAATGTCTAAAAAATATTGGGATGGATGCACAGTGGCCTAAGACTGCAATCCTGGCTGTGGGACTTGGCAGAGCAATGCAGCCAGCACTACCAGGGTGGTGGTGCTACAGGGAAAACATCTGTTTGTTGCATTAGCTCCCAGGCTGTCACAGCAAAGAGTTGCTGTCATGGGATGGCAGCAGGGACAGCTCAGGATCCTGTGATGGCTCAACCTGCCCACTCTCAAATTTCAGAGGTTTTTGCATGCAGTCACCAGCAGGGATGCCATGGGTGGAAGTTTCCACCTGCTTTTTGTGCATGTGTACTGGGGTGCTCACCCAGCAGTGGGCAGTTCTGCTCCATGCAAAACCCCTCCAGCACAGCAGATCGCTCTGCATCCTGGTATAAAGCAGCAGCCTGTGTTAAATAATAATAATAA